AGGAGATCTTTTGAATTTCAGGTATAAAACATCAGAATGAATTTCAGCGTCTGGTGGATCAAGCCAAAAAAGGATATAAGAAAACTGTTGGAATGTCAAAAAAAAAAGTAACAAAAGAAGAAGATGAATCTACAGAAAAGCTATTATCTGTATGCGTGGGTAAGAGACTTTAACTAAAAACAGAAGTATATGGAATTTTATAATTTTTAATATCAAAAGGAAAAAACCAAAGGAATTTACTTTGGACTTAATTGGTATTTGAAATGGGCAAAAGTATTTTTAGACATATAGCAGTTGTTGGATGTAAACTAGGTTTATTACTCTGGGAAGAATGATCGTTGAGATGTCCTGAAGACACAGGTTCTAAAATCTGTCTTCCTTTCCATTAATGAGAAATCAGAAGTTTTTTAGTTGTTTAAGCTTGAAGTATAGGATTTATTGCTGCAGACCCTTAGGTATCCTACAAAGAGAATAAATTATTTTTATTATAGGTCGCTGGTATTAACTTTGAATGGAATGTTCTGCTAAAACATCTAAGGCTAATAATACACAGCACATTCCAATCTCAACCCATTTTAAAATTTGAGATTGATATTTATGTTGCCAGGACTTTGGGCCAGTGAACAAAAAACAATCATAATGGAGGAAAGTGTACAAGAAAATTCTTTATTGTTTTGTCTTTATTGTGATAAAAATATACAAAACATATTTATCATTTTAACCATTCACAAATGTACAATTCAGTGGCCTTAAGTACATTCACAGTGTTGTGTCACCATCACCACTATTACACCCAAAACTTTTTCATCATCTCCAGCGAAAACTCTGTACCCATTAAATAATAACTCTTACACTTTCCCCACCATTGCTTAGTAATCTCTGGTCTACTTTCTGTGTCTATGAATTTGCTTATTCTAGGTACCTCATATAAGTGGAATCATATATTATTCGTCCTTCTTTGTCAGCTTATTTCATTAAGCATAATGTTTTCAAAGTCCCCATGTTGTAGCATATATCAAAATTTCATTACTTTTTATGGCAGAATTCCATTGTATTTATATACCACATTTTGTTTATCCATTCTTCTGTAATGGGTTATTTTCACCTTTTGACAGTTGTGAATAATGCTGCTGTGTGCATTGGTGTTCATGTATCTGTTCAAGTCTCTGCTTTCCATTCTTTTGGATATGTACCTAGCAATGGAATTTCTGGTTCGCGTAGTAATTCTTTGTTTACCTTTTCAGAAGGTAACCAAACTATTTTCCATAGTGGCTGCTCCATTTTACATTCCCACCAGCAATGCTTGAGGATTCCAGTTTCTCTATATGCGTGTCAATACTCGTTATTTTCCTTTTTTTTTTTTTACTGTAATCGTCTTGGTAGATGTGAATTTGTATCTCATTGTGGTTTTTTGCTTTGTATTTTTCTAATGACTAATGATGTTGAGCATCTTTTTATATGGTTAGTGGCCATTTGTTTTTCTTCTTTGGAGAAATGTCTGTTCAAGTCTTTTGCCCATTTTTTAATTGGCTTGTTTGTTCTTTTGTTGTTGAGTTTTAAGAGTTCTTTAAATATTTTGAATATTAATCCATTATATATATGATTTGCAAATATCTTTCAGCTTTTTTCTGGGTTGTCTTTTTGTTTTCAGGATAGTATCTTTTTGATGCATAGAGTGCTTTATTTTGGTGAAGACCAGTTTATCAATTTTTTCTTTTGTTGCTTGTGCTTTTGCTGTTATAGCCATGAAGTTGTTGCAAAATCAGTGTCATGAAGATTTTCCTATGTGTTTTCTCCGAAGAGTTTTATAGTTTTAGCTCTTATGTTTAGGTCTGTGGTCCACTTTGAGTTAATTTTTGCGTATGGTGTAAGTAACGGTCCATCTTCATCTTTTTGCATGTAGATAATCCAGTTTTCTGAGCACTGTTTGTTAAAAAGACTGTCCTTTCCCTGTTGAATGCTTTTGACATCCTTGTTGAAAATCAATTGACCATGTTTGTGAGGGTTTATTTCTGTACTCTGTGTTCTATTTAATTGGTCTGTATGTCTGTCCTTACGCCAGTGCTATACTGTTTTAATTACCATAGCTTTGTAACAAATTTAAGAGTTGGAAGGTATGAGTCCTCCAACTTTATTCTTCCTTTTCAAGGTTGTTTTGGCCATTTGGTTCCCTTGAGAGTCCATGTGAATGTTACGATGGATTTTTCTATTTCTGCAAAACGTGCCATTGGGATTGCATTGATTAGTTGCTTTGGTTAGCTGACATCTTAACAATATTAAGTCTTCCGTTCCATGAACACAGGATGTCTGTCATTCATTTTTGTCTTTTTAAAAATTACTTTCAACAATGTTTTGTAGTTTTCAGAGTGCAAGTCTTTCACCTCCTTGGTTAGATTTATTTCTAAGTGTTTTATTCTTTCAGTGCTATTGCATTCTTTATTTTTGTCCTCAGTTCTCTTGGTGTCGTGTAGTAGGTTGCTGCCTGAGTATAAGTATATACTTCATGGTCTTTGTGAACAAGTTAAATTTGTTCATGCAGTTGTTAAAGGAGAGTAATTGAGGTCCTGAGAAAATCTGGCTTAATATCTCGGATTAAGAGAATATTTTTGTTTATTGGCTGAATCTCTCCTTTTTTTTTTTTGCGGTACGCGGGCCTCCCACTGCTGTAGCCTCTCCCGCTGCGGAGCACAGGCTCCGGAGGCACAGGCTCAGCGGCCATGGCTCACGGGCCCAGCCGCTCTGCGGCATGTGGGATCTTCCCGGACCGGGGCACGAACCCGTGTCCCCTGCATCGGCAGGCGGACTTTCAACCACTGCGCCACCAGGGAAGCCCTGAATCTCTTTTGAAAATGATTGATTGCTTGTAGTCAGGGTTGGTGTATTCTTTGTGTATGTGCACATGAGTATTGCTCTGTCTGGGGTTCAGAGATGAGTGCTGCTGGTAGATAGCTGCGCATGAACGCATGTGTCAGGGATGGGTGGGGAGTGTGAGAGAGAGGCAGACAGACTGGCACAGACTGAAAGGTTGGGCTTTTTTTTTTTTTTTTTGCGGTACGCGTGCCTGTCACTGTTGTGGCCTCTCCCGTTGCAGAGCACAGGCTCCGGACGTGCAGGCTCAGCGGCCATGGCTCATGGGCCCAGCCGCTCCGCGGCATGTGGGATCTTCCCAGACCGGGGCACGAACCCGTGTCCTCTGCATCGGCAGGTGGACTCTCAACCACTGCACCACCAGGGAAGCCCAGGTTGGGCTTTTTATAGCATCATACAACCAGTGTAACTTTTGCTCTTTAGAGTAAACTTGCTCATTAAAGTGCCAATATAAGTGAACAAGGTATGTGTCCTGTTAAGTAAAACCTTCATCTGTTTTTGTTACTTTATGTTTCTTTAGGGAGGTTTAATGTCGGGGCCTCATGTTTTTGGCTTTATTTGGAGTTCCGTCCTGAGATCCATGGGCAGATATGAAGGATAACTGACTTTCATTGCCCACAGTTGTTGAATGATATTTGTCTGCAAGAGGGAATTTATCCTGTAGAAGCTTATATAAGAGGGGAAGAAGTAAGAGAAGAATATAAATCAGGTGCAAAAATAAAAGGTAGTTTTATGTTGAATTCCTGCTCCGTGGTTTGCCGGCTTGATTGCATTCTCCCAGCCAGTTGAGTGATGGAGTTGCCTGGGTTCACCGGGTTTACTGGGTGATTGATTCCTCTCAACCTGGTCCTAGGTGTCTGTTTACAAGAAAATATCCTAGAGATCCTGGATGGTCCTTTTAGTTGACTGCATGTTTCCCTTTCCCAGATAAACATTAGAGGGTACAGTTTTGTTTTGGTAATGAGCAGGCTTAGTGAAAGCCAGACAACATCAGGAGCTTATTTTTAGAAATTGTACTCTTGTGTGATGTATGCTGTTTGCAAGGGTAATGAAAACTTATAATTATTTCTGGAAAAATCTTGACCATATAGAGTTGGAAAGGTTTTTGTTTGTTTGTTTGAAGAATCTGTCTTATTCTTTTTCCATAAACTTTATCTTTATAACAACACCTTGACAGTTCTCGTTGTTGTCCTTTGTTAAAGGTCACTTGCCTCCACAAGTGCATGAGTGATGTGTGAAAGCTCTTCTACTCTATGAGCAAACCCATGAAAGGGAGCTCTATCCCAGTAGCACGCGTCAGGCATGTCAGGAACTCACTCGGTCCCTGAATCTGAAAGCAAGCACAAGTGAAGTCCCAGCAGAGCCCTGAAACACATCATGAGGGAGGGGCCTGGACACTGAAGAATCCTGCACAGAGATGATTTTCTGCACTTATATTCACAGATATTTGGTCACATCTGCATGTCATCTTCCTGCAAACACTGTGTCTGCATCCCCCCAGCTTTCCTGGGCCTTTATCTTTATCTGCAGTAAGAGACCTCGGAAAGCGAGAATATGACAAGGGATGTGTAGAAATGTGACATGTGTTGGATCAAACAGATATATTGGTTATGTCTGATTAGTTTTTCTCTTCCCCAGTGAATATTAGATTCTATGTAACAGATTTAGAAAAATGTCCAGATGGATTCACTACCATTCAGCAGTCAGTGACAAATATTGTGCTTCTCTTACTAATTGAATCTTTAATCCTTTTTTGTCATGTTTCTTATGTTTATCACTATTCTCTGATCTGTGAAGTATTCAGGAATTCTTTAGTAATACTGTAAATAAAAGCCTCATTAGAATGATAAGGTTCTCCCTGCTCCTGTTTTAAAGAACATTTTATTTTTGAATTAATTAATCTGGAAATACATTGGGTGGACAGTATAACCAGATAGCACCAGTGTAGTGCTAATTCTTACTCTCTGGCTGTCACTAGAGTTTTGGAATCAGTGTCCCATAAACTTCTATTTTACCAAATAGGAATATTAAATGTTGTGGAAATAATAAATACACAGAGGTTGTAAATTTTAAGGTACTCTTAAATGTTTCTTTTTTTTCTTTCTTTCTTTCATTTCTTTTTTCCTTTTTAGGACAGGAAGATAATAAAATGAAATTCTCAGATATACCCTCGGTAACAAACCACTTCCCTCAGTCAAAGCTGGACTCCCCAGGGAAACTAGAGCCTGACAGACCAGATGATTCTTCCAGTTGTACTGATATTCAAGAGGAAGCTCTTTCTTCACCAGAGTCAGATTCATGCAATAGGTAAGAAACTTGCAGTAGTTGATTATTTTAAATTTCTGTTTTCTGTGCATTCTAAGAGACCAGCAAAAGTAACCAGAAAATAGCTTTGAGGCCTGGTGCCATTCCTCATCTCCTTCCATTGTCTCCTGCTGCTTTGTAGGGTTCACAGAGGGATCAGGGCATGATGTGGGGAGTATGTGCAGCAGTCACTGGGGATTTTGTCTTCTGCTCTGTAGGCTTTTTTTTAAAATTATTTTTAATTTTTACTGGAGTATAGTTGATTTACAGTGTTGTGTTAGTTTCTGCTGTACAGCAAAGTGAATCTGTTACACATATATCCACTCTTTTTTTTAGATTCTTTTCCCATATAGGCCATTATGAGTATTGGGTAGAGTTCTTTGTGCTATACAGTAGGTCCTTATTAGTTATCTATTTTATATATAGTAGTGTGTGTATGTCAATCCCAGTCTTCCAACTTTATCCCTTCCCCCCTCCCCTTATCCCATGGTAACCATGTTTATTTTCTGCATATGTAACTCTTTTTCTCTTTTGTAGATAAGTTCATTTGTACCCTTTTCTTAGATTCCACATATAAGCAATATCATACTGTGTTTGTCTTTGTCTGTCTGACTTACTTCACTCAGTATGACAATGTCTCGGTCCATCCATGTTGCTGCAAATGTAGCCTTTATATAGATATTTTTCCTAGAGTTAGAAAAGAGAGCCTGACTGGCAGTGAAATTTTTATCAAAAGAATGAGTGAAGGAGATAAACACAGCTATACTAGAAAGTTGAGGTGGCCAGAAAGACAAAAGAAAGAAAAATTTAATTGAGCAAATAGAATGGATGGGGAACCTTTTACAATGAGAGATTTGGAGGTGAGTCATTTTTCCAAATTTTTTAAAAGACAATTTAAGAAGATGATGTGTTTTTGAAAGATGACATAGTGTTGTGTTATAGTTACCATTTTGTGTTCTCACCATTCACTTTATATGATAAATGCTACCCATGTTTCTACCTCATCTTTATAACTTTTTTTTAGTAGATGCAGCATTCTGTTGGGTTTCCGTACCATAATTGACCAAACTTTTAAATTTCTATTGTATTTCTACATCTTCCCCAGTGTTTTTTATACTTACACACCTAAAGCTGTGGTAGAACTCTCCCTATAGGAAGTCTTTTGTTTCTAATGAATTACTCCCTTAACTTTAGCATCATTTTGACCTTGGTAGGTGGTGTTGTTGCCTTCTGAATGAATTGTACCAATTTTAAATGCTAACAGCAACATGTTGTTTAATCTTTGGTATTTGTTCATTTAAAAATTGCTCACAGTACTCTAGAATGATAGATTATGTCTAGTCTAAAATATCAAATTAAGAAGAAATTTTTTTAAGAGAAGAATATACCCAAGGACCCTCTGCTTTCCTAGGGTTCTTGGAAAACAGCTTCAGGTTATTCAGAATCAAGTATTAGGAAGGGAAAATCTTCTCATTTTGCCCCGAACATTTTCAAGATCAGATCGGGATCAGTTTTATCCCGAGTTGGGTAAAGGCAGAAGATACGGTAGCCTGAGTTTCTGCAAGACTGTGGCTCTGCTGCACAGTTACTTTGGATCGGGCCATTCCTGTAAGTTCATTGGGTAGTGTTTGTTTTTAAACACAAAACTTATCAGAGTACAGGGTAGAAACGGAGGAGAAACAGAGTTCAGGGAAATAAGAGTGAGTTTTTAAGCATAGTCACGAGATGCCCGAATGTTCTGGAATGCCAGGATGAAATGGGACATTTCTATATATTTGGAGTGGAGGGTGGAATGGAGGAAAATGAAAAGGGGAGACACATGGCAGCCAGATGTATTTTTATCTTGTGGTGAGAGTGTGGGAAACAGGATGAGTTTGTTGGAGGTCTTGGCCTCAGACAGACTTATAGGCATCACTGAACTGTGAGAGGGTTATTAAACCATTTAATTTCTTTTAAAGTAGGCTCTTATATTCTTCCACACTTTAATTAGTTATGCATGTATATATGTCTATACACACACACACACACACACACACACACACACACACCCATCCAATACACCCATGACCAGTGGAACTACCTGCTAATTGTGAATTTTTAACAGCTTTATTGAGATATAATTTACATACCATACAATTCACTCATTTAAGTGACAATTCAGTGGTTTTTACTGTGTTGCCAAAGTTGTGCCACCATCACCACAATTTTAGAGCATTTTCACCACCCCGAAGAGAAACCTCATCCCCATTAGCAGTCGCTCCACGGTTCCTCCCAACTCTGCTAGCTCCTGGCAACTACTGATCTACTCTGTCTCTATTGATTTGCCTATTTTGGACATTTCATATAAATAGGATCATACAATATGTGGTCTTTTGTAACTGGCTTCTTTTACTTAGTGTACTGTCTGCAAGGTTTATCCATTTTGTATCATGTTTCAGTACTATATTCCTTTTTCTTTCTAAATTATATTCCATTGTATGGATATGCATTTTATTTATTCATTTATTAGTTGATGGACGTTTGGGTTGTTTCTAATTGTAGTTTTAACAAGGACAAAAATCATTGACTTTGTTTGCACACTTTGGAAGCTTAGCTTTAGAGACCGAATATGAGGATTTGCGTGGCTTGCCTTGAGAAATCGGTCAGTGTCTGGTACTCATATCTCAAGTATAAAGAAGTGTTACACACATTGTAACTATTAAATATGTTAAACTTTAAAATTTTAATTTAATTAAGTACGCTTTTATACCCTCCTTTTAATTTGCCCTGTCATTTTGTCAGTCTAAGGTTTTTTACATTTAAAATGTTGAATCTGTTCCTTATATAAGACCTAGAAACTCAGGCTAAAGGGAGAGTGGGAGTACAGTGGTATTTGATTTGATACTAGGGCGGCCCACTGGGCAGCCGATTCCCGAGTGGACTGTGGAGGAGGAAGTGTGCAGGGGGAGCAGCCGTGGTGCAGCAGGAAAGTACAGGCTTACATTTGAGTGGCTTCAGGTCAGGATCTGCTGGATGATTTGGGAGTCAGTCTTTTGAAGTCCGTTTCCATAGCTATGAAAAGCATGTATAAATATCTCTGTCTCAGATCTGTTGGGAAGATGAAATGAGATAATAGATGTGAGGGTCTTTGATAAATATATGATTATTATTCTGGTTTTATAAAGACCAAATCAATTGAATTTTCTTCAGTAATACTGCAAAACTTGGGTCTCTAGGACTGGATATTTCAGAAATGCTTTCATAGTCCTCTATTCCTTCATTCTAATTCTTAAGCTATTATATCATAGAGTAAATCCCACAATTTATTTATTTTTTCCTACTTCCGTTCTGAACTTTAGAAAGTTGTGAGCCTGGGCTAATTAGTTCCATTGAAAATTCATTTAATTCAGCCTCAGCTGGGTGCTCACCACCTAATTTACTCCTTATTGCATTTCCTACCCAGTTGCCTGTGTCTGTTTCCTCACTTTGAATGAACGAACACCTTGTCTCTCAGTTCAGCAAGGCAGCTAATCTGACCTGTCTCCAGATCTTCCTTTTCATTTTAAGGTTTCTTGTAATTTCTGACCACTTCTTTCCTGTTAACTGTAAGAGAAAGATACATTTCTTAATACATTTTGAAAGACATATTCTTTCTTAAGATGAACTCATCCACCTCCTCTGAGACTTTGCTCCATCACTCATGTCTTAAGTTTGCTCTCAGATGACCCTTTTTCATAGCCCTTCCTCCGACCTCTTCTCTTATTCTTGCCACTATGCAGGAAGTAGTTTTGACTTCCTCTGTGAATTCCTGTAGCAGCGTCTCTGAATTCCATAGCAGTTTGTCTAAATCAAATCTTGCCTTGTATTATAGTTATTTGACTATCCTTGTCCTTCCTGTTATTACTCATCAAAGTCCTTAAGAATTGAGTCTGTCACTCATTTAAAAAAATATCTCCTGCCTTGGGTCACTACACGACCATTATTAAGTGAAGGATTTCTTGATTCTAAGGTGTACATTTTCTGTTTTACATTTTAATGTCTGAAATTGTGATAGGTACAGTGATCAGTGGTGTTTTACAGTTGCTGCCAGCCAGGTGGTGGTTGTGATATACTTGCCAGTGTGTGAGTTTCAGTTGAGTTACATGTATTGTTAACATTACATTGGTTTGTCATTTAAAATGTCTTCAGCAAAATAATGAGAAAAAAGTTGTGTACAAAGAAAGTAACAAAATACAGCAGGGTGAAAGTTTGATGTTAGCGAGGTAGTGTTCACTGTTGGATGAATGACTGTATTTCTGTATTTTCTTGCAAAACAGTCAAATGATTTACAAGACCTAAAGATGCCCACAAGTGTCTGAAGACTTGTTACGTTTTGTTAGTGAACTATGTGCAAAGGATTGCTTGTTTGTTACATGATCTACTGAAGGCAGGAGAAATGGTCACATCTCTTGGAATAGATGGGAAAAATTTCAAAGTAATAACAGTGAGCCTGACTGATTCATCTGTTGCAAAGACTATTGTTTGGGTGTCAAGTGTCAATTCGTCAGACATTTCTTGCTGTCTTTGAACAGAAGCTGCTCATCTTCCAGTCACAGGTTATGTGATTGAGAAAAACAAAATTATGAGTTTAGTTTGCAGAATGGGTGTCAGTGCCTTACGTGAAATGCCTGGAGACAATTGTCAGGTAATTTGGAGAAATGCTTTATCTCCAGTGCTTTTGGTGGTACAGAGGATGACTTTGTGAGGGAAAAAACAGACATCGTAGACGTTGAGTCAAAACACGATGAAGAGGGCTTCCCTGGTGGCACAGTGGTTGAGAGTAGGCCTGCCGATGTAGGGGACGCGGTTTCGTGCCCCGGTCCGGGAAGATCCCACATGCCGCGGAGCGGCTGGGCCCGTGAGCCATGGCCGCTGAGCCTGCGCATCCGGAGCCTGTGCTCCGCAGCGGGAGAGGCCACAGCAGTGGGAGGCCCGCGTACCGCAAAAAACAAACAAACAAACACGATGAAGCGTACGGCTCCGAA